AAATAATAAAAAAAAAATTAGGCATGGTGCCATGTGTCTGTGGTCACAGCTATTTGGGAGGCTAAGGCACGAGGACTGCCAGAGCCCAGGAGGTTGAGACTTCAGTGAGCCATGACTGCACCACTGCACTCCAGCCTGAGTGATACTGTCTCAAAAAAATAAAACAAACAAACAAAAAACCCCTCACAAAAATACAAATATAATAAGGCAGTAGAGACTTTTAATCTCTATGTCAAAATCTTACACACACACACACATATAAAAATCTGGAGAGCTGTTCCTATGGAATGGAAAGCTAGATACCATGAGAATTAAGATAATTAGGAATGGAAACAGAACAAAGAGTGGAGATTTATTCTGGGTGAGGCTAAAGCAATGAAGAAATATCAAGCAGTAACTGGACAGCACCACAAGGCTGGCAGCCCCCGATTGTCTACTCTATCAGCCTTAAATTTCTACTATCAGAGTCACTAAAAGGTTGCATAACAAAGGCTGATGACTATTTCTCTCAAATGTCTTATTTTAAATGCACAAGTTGCCTGAAATAGGGTTTCCATCTCTCTACTATTAGCATAATAGCAGGATTCATGTATTAAGTTAGTGAGTTAATCTGATATCTCAGTGTCCAAGGGAATAACATAAGACAGATTTAAGTTCAGGGTATGACAGAAGGCTGACAGTGATGAACAGTGGCAAACAGAGAGCAGAACGAGGTGGTGTGGTCTAAGGTTTGTGATTGCTTCAAGGGGCATATTTTACCTAAACTGCAAATCTAAAAGATTCTTCAGTGATACTCTGCTTACAGTTTGATACACACACACACACACACACACACACACACACAAACACACTACTCACCTTGTTATTTATTTCTATGACAATGATATGTCTATGTAACATTACATCATTCTCTCTGATAGGTCAAGTCCTTGCCCAGATTCAGAGACAATAGGCAGTTTGGTATTCAAAATAATGAAAACTCAGTCTCAGCTGTAGCATTAACCTCTGGCTCTGCTATTTCCTGCTTCCAGCACCATCCTCAGATTACTGACTCTTTTCAGTTCAGGCAGAAGCTACCTCATTGGGTAGCCTATTTTTGAAGAAGATCAACCACTTTTTGGCATCAGTAGAGTATCTGCATCTATGTCTAACTTCCTAATAAGGTCATCAAGTTTAGAGTAAACAACTGAGTGTTGAAAGCCCACGAAAATGGACTAGAAGGGATAACGATATTGTGTTGCCTCTGAATTTCTCCTTACACCACAGAGATATACATATCAGGCACTGCCTTACCTGGTGTGATTTTAGAGGCATGAATTTGTTTTCCCTGATCTACTAAAATACATTAGATGCTTTAAAGACAAGTTGAAGAGAAAGTGGAGAACAGAAGGGAAAACAATGTGCAAGAAGTGGAGGCTGAAGGCCACAAACACAAACCCTGCCTGGAGAGAGTACTGCTAACCAGATCCGCCAGAAATGGAAAACAACTGCAGCCAGCTTCTTTGAAAGAAGCTTGGGCTTTGCCAATTGCATTAAATTCTTAGTGAATTTCCATCTCATTGACCTAGGGAGCCTTAAGCACTGAGGTCAACACTTCAGTACTTTGTAACAAGGTTGGTGCCAGCCAATGCTGGGGAGGGGGCTGAATTCCAACTCAAATGAAATCTAAAAAAGCTTTTTTTGATAACTCCTCATCCTGTTTACAATTTTACTTTCTGCCATTAAAAGAAACAGGACGATCTCTCAGCACCCATGTTATTCTCTGTCATTAAGGGAAATAGGATGATCTCTCAGCAGCCATGTTATTCAATCACCAAGGAACAGACTATGCAGGATTTGAAGTTGGAAGTACCTGCTCCTCTTGCATCAGTCAGTTGCTGCAAAACTCCTAGTTAATAGACAATGTTAAGAAGGCAAGCCTGCATAGTCATGATATGGCTGTATAAAAGCCATACTTCCTCCTTTGAGAGCCCCTGAGGATTTCATCTGTTGTAAGGATACTATTAATTCAGTGGTATTCTGGTTGCCTTAGACCTCAGCTTTCAATCCTCTGAGATGTCCCAGGATCTAAGGTCCTAGACCAGCTAGCAAAGTTTCTCTGGGAACTGATCTCAAAGTGTTTCTTAGGTAATTCTAGATTAGTTTATTTTTCCTATATAGGTAGCTGCCAGTTCTACATATTACATATTGACAACAGTACTAGCAGGATTTATGGTAAAATCCTTTTGGGAACATCATACAATTCACAGAAGAGACTCAGACTGTTTTTATGTGTTTCTTTTTAAAATTTTGTGCTCCAAAATGATAATAGCAGAAGATTGCTGTCGCTATCCGATTAGCCACAGGACTTAACTAAGGTATACCAGAAGGGTCTATAACTGTAGAGGGAGGGGAAGAAAAAGAACATACCCTGAATGCTTATTTGTACTCGGTACTATTCTAGGCATGATACTGTATGACCTCACTTCTCAACAACTCTAGAAAAAAGGCATTATTATTGCTCTTATGTAGATAAGAAGACTAAGTCTTAGTAATACTATGTAACTTTTTCCAGAGGTCACAGTTCCTACAAGAGGCAGGATTTATCTGCAGGTAATTTGACTCAAGGGATTATGTTCTTTCCACTACAGCATGTTTCTTTAAAAAGTTTCCCTCTCAGGGAAAATACTACAAAGTCTATTGCCTGGCTTAATGTCTTCATCATAATCTGGAACTAATTTTCTGGTGAATCAGCATGGAGTAGGCTGAGCAGCATGCCCACAGTACAGTTGTCTCTAATAAGGCCTGGTGAAGGACATGGTAAAGGGCAATAAAACCCCAGCATGAACACAGAGTTTTATTCTTTCTGATGAGTCACATGTGAGGCATAGTCAAATCTGGCCTCTTCTTTTTGAGCCAAAATAAGCTCTGCATTTGCCAGCTATGTTGTTGGTGTCTTCTTTGTTTCTGCGAAGTCAGTAATATTGTCTTCTGAAAACACCAACTTTATTAAAGGAATACTTCTTTAAAAATGTTAGTATGAAGGAGTAAAAAGCACACCCCACCAGGATGCCAGAGAACTAGGTTTTATGCAATAAAAAGGGAAACAGTTTCATATCTAGTCTGGTTTGAGTTGGGAAAGATTCTCAAGTCAGGTTCAAGCTCACTGGGAGAGTGCTGGAGTAAGTCAGTGATCCTGCCATGAATGTGGGATGGGAAGTGGTGGTATCTACCATGCACTTGCCATCCCTATTCTAGCACATGCCTCCTCCCTCCCACGTATTAACTTTATGACTGTGCAAGTTTATGATCCAGCATCTTAAGGCCTTTATAGCAAAATAAGGATAATGACACCTTATTTATCTAAAGTCAGCATGGATAGACCAGCTGATCTCTTTAAATCTTTTTCAGCCATTAAGGTTTATAATTCTATTTTCCAGTATGAAGCTTAGCACTGGCTGGACTTTAATGGATTTAGTCATTGGAAACTTATTAATAATAAGGTTTTTAAAAGGGCAATAAAAATTTTGAAATTTTGAAATGATTCTGCTCTAGGTCAAAGAGATGAACAGTATATACATTCTTTCTTCATATCAGAATAATAATACTGAGGAAGTCAATTAAATGGCTAACTTAATTATGGCCTGTGAACCCTGTGCGGTCAGCGAAAATTATTTAGAAAAACACAGGAATGTATGGTAGCATTCTAAATATCTATGCAGGTGTTGACTCTTAAGGAAATAACATTGTGAAACAATAAATTGGTTAACCTCATTATAGCCTTGCCTTGAGAAGAAACAGAGATGATGTCTTTTCTACGTGAAATGTTCAATAAAGAACAATTCTGCTTTCAATACTCATACTCCATGCAATGAACAGAAAATAGACTCCAAATTGCATATCACAGATCTATGTCTTACCTGGGATCACAGAGAAATTTGGTTTTCTCTCCTTCTTCTCTCCAGATAAGCCATTCTCGAAAAGAAGGATGTACAAACATGCGAGTCATGTCTCTGCGCTTGATTAGGAACATGGAGAGGTTCTCCATTCTCTGCTGAAAATCCTCCCATTCTAGTGTGCCTTCAATGCTCCCAGCATTGATGGCCTGGAAGATATGCTCATCAGTCAGTGGGTGGAGAGAGGCCACTGCCACATTCAGGAGAGGCATCACCCGGTCAAAGGAAGACTGGGTTGGGAACTTCATATTGCATTGGAGTAAATAAACCTCTGAGAGTGAAACTGGAACTACTTTGTAGCTAGAGCTCTTTAACACTAGATAGCCTTTCTCTATGAGGTCAAATGTGAGTTTCAGATATAGATAGGACCCTTGACTGAGGGTCTTGAGATGAGAACTGAGTTTGCCAAATGTAGTATTGTCCATTTTGCCATTTAGTGAAATGTTATTCTGGATCTCTGAGCTGCTGTGTATCCGGTGCAGGATGTAAGCCTGCAGGTCCTGGTCTATGGCTTCATTCTCTTCTAGTCGATCCAAAAAAATCCTATGGAAAGGCAGCAGCTTGGTAATTTCCTAAAACAGATGGAGAGAGAGAAAGAGACAGAAAGACCTTCAGTTTCCCCTAACTCTTGTGATAAACTATGAGGTTTACACAAACTTATTCTGAACTTTGAAATGGTCAAAGAGGGAAACATGATCAAGTATTAGTATCCATAAAGTAAAACAAATTAGTTGCATAGAAGGGACATGACTTCTCCTAATATTGAGACTTATGATAATTTTTTAATGGGTCTTTGTAAAGGGTGTTTTACGAGTGATTTCATGATCGTTATTCTAAGCAACACTCCTGAAATAGAGTGCTGTATAACTCTTTTGTTGTAATTTTTCTCAGTGTAAGCCAGGGCATAATGCCAAGTACAAGTCAATAAGAGAAATGTATAGGATTCAAAGAATGTCTTAGAAAAACTTGGCTTTCTAAGCCTCCTAATAAAATGACTATTAAAAAAAAATTCCCATACAACACAGATGTATAAAATGACTACATTTAAATGCAGGCCTTCTGGAGATACCTTAGCTGAAATGAACACTTCTAACAGTAGGAAGCTTGGCACCTTGGTAATCTGTTGTAAATGCTACTGGGGGAAAGTGATACTGCTTTGTGGCTACTCCCAAGCACTGAATTCCATCCTTTCCTACCTACTTACGGACTTTGCTCCTGTGAGTACCCATTCTCTCTCCTGCATCCTGACCTTCTCAGTTGGGTCACACAGACAAACTCCATATTATTCCTTCCAGCTACTACCCTGTAGTTCTCATCCCATTTTTAGCAAACGTTTTCTCTATTTGCTATTTATAATTTTTTCCTTCCCATTCTCTCCTCCATTTGTTCCAATCAGGCTGCACCCCCACCACCCTCACTGACATGGTTTTTGTCAAGGGCATCAGTAACTTTCACTTTGCCAAATCCAGTAACAGAGTTCCAGCTGTCATCTTCCTCAACCTCTCAGCAGTGTTTGACACAATGCATCTCACCGCTTTGCACTTGTTTTGGAGTCACTTTCTGCAGCTTCCTCCCAGAGAAAGAATGCTCTTTTCTCTCCTAGCACACTGGCCATCTTTACCCTTCCTTTTTTGCTGGTTCCTTTTTTATTTCCCAGCTCACTCAGGGCTCTGAGCTCTGTTCTTTCCTCTTCTCTAGCCATTCTCGCTCCCATCAATAGATTCTTTAGTCCCATGGTTCTAAATATCATCTATATGTGGCTCATGCCTAACTTTATGTTTCTAGCCTCGTCATCTCCCTTGAGGCCCATCTTATATCTCTGTCTACTCAACATTTACATTTGGGTATTTCATAGACAATGTGACCAAATCAGAACTACTTAGTTTTGTCCCCCACCACAAAACTCACCCCATGTCAATAAATAGCATTACCACTGACCCTACCACCAGACCCTAGAGGATATCTGTGATCTTTCTATTGTCCTCAAATCATCATTCACCCATTTGCTCACAAAAAACCCGGGATTTATTCTTGAGTCTTCTCTCTTGCTCATACCTACATTCAGCCCATCATCAAGTCCTTTGATTCTCCTTCAAAGTGCAGTCCATCGAAATATGACCATTTCACATGGTCTCCATCATTATCACTCTAGTCTAAGCCACCATTACCTTTCACCTATACTTCTGCTTCGACTCTTTATCCCCTACATTTTATTACGTAGATAGCCATTGACAGAGATCTTTTAAAAAGACAGATCAGATTTCATCACTTTTAAAGGAGAGGGCTTTCCTGTATATCCTATCTAAAACAACTACTATCCAGTTATCCCTTCTCCCTATTTTGTTTTTCTTCATAGCACTTAACACTACCTATAATTTGAGTATATATTTTTTTGCCTATTTTTTGGTGTGTTTCTTACTAAAATATAAGCTTTAGGAGGAAGGATGGGCAAATTGACTGTCTTCTTCATTTTGAATCTCCAGCCCCTAGAACAGTCCCTGAAATACTCTAAAGACTTAAGAAATGTTTGTGGAAATAATGATGATCAAATATAAATGAAGGCTCATTTTCTAAAACCTATGAATTCTTTTACTGTCAGAAATGAAATAATTAAAAAAAATTCTTAGTTGAAGTACTTTTTCTGTTGGCATAGTTGAAAAATTAGTCACCTACTCTATCCAGAAACACTTAAAATTTCTTTTGAGACTACCCATGGTATTATGTGAATCCGTAGCATACATTTGGTCAAGTAGTCAGAGATTGCATTCCTGGAGGTTTCTTTCATTCGTCTTTCATTTTTAACAATCAAGCTACTAAAAATGATAGATTATATAATTTTTAGTTGTAAAGATGAATTTATATTGATTTATCCATATCCTTTAGCTCAAATTACTTTGAAATTAACAATAAACATCTATAAGGTGGTGGCCAGTATTAGAAATATAGTTTCTCATCATGGAAGACAGTAATGTTAATTGGTCAATACATAGGAATAATGCTAAGTGCCTGGTGGGGGAAAGGAGGGACTTTAAATGCACAGATTATTTTCTGTACATTAACACTTATGACAAGGGGGGTCTGCATCCAAATAGTGAGATGAGTGTATATCATTTGAGATTCTAATATTTATCAAAGGAGGGAATGATTTTTATAAAAATAATGAGAAACATTTTTCCAAACCAAGTGTGAATATGTACAGAATGGGATATTGACTCAGCTACAATGAGAATGTTGGGGAAAGTATAGTCATTTATCTTTAGCCCATATATTTTTACAGGCTCAGTCTCACATTCCTGGTCCTTCTTCCAGGCTGTTAAGTGACCAGTGAGTGAGCAAGGAAAGTAATTAGAAAAAAACAAAACAAAACAACTTATCTCCCAGTTGTAGTAAATTTAATCTAAAGCCCTAATATTGCCAATTTTTGTTACAGGAGGGCGGATATAGAAGAAGGTCCATCTTCATGCTACAGAAGAGTTGTTTAAGTAGGAGCAGAGAGAGGAACCAGAAAATCTGATTCTCAGGTGTAGACTGAACTGAACTTTGCAGAGCATTAAATGATTAAAAAATGCTAAACAAAAGTCCAAGTGTTAGAGATTGTCTTTACACTGCTGTCATCAGAACAGTCTGGAAAAATTGATTTTCTTTTCATGCTATTTTGAGGGACATTTTATCAAACCTCATCGAGAGCAACAGGAATGGGACTCAGAATCATGTACAAAAAATGTTCTTTCTAGATCACATCTCTCAAAATATTACATTAATTCTTTGGGAATTATTCTTCCTAAGGCTCTAGGACATAGCAGAGGTTTAGGGAACTAGGACCTAGAATTTTTCAGTCTAAGCTCTTTCCAAGAGAAGCAATTTATGGTTTAAAAGCAAACAAACACATACCTGTAAACTGGTCCTAACTGTTACAATTAGTTTGAGCCAAGAAGGAAACTTTCCAATCATTTTACTCAGAAACGATACAATTGTATCCCCATAATCCGGTTTGTGAAATTCTGCTTCATTTAATCCATCAATTAAAATGATGAAATCTTCATCTGGGATTTTTCTCTCTGAGATAGAAAGAAACAAATTACTTAATAATTACCAAATGGATAAATGAGTTCTTATTGGAACTTTGGTCACATATCTCTTTGGAACGAAACATTAGAAAAGGCTTGCATGTGTTTAGTGAATGCTCAGGGTACATAATTTATTCTAAAGGCATGGAAAAATACACTTAGTAAATTCATTTTGCTTTTAATCAAGTGTGAAAGCTTTTGTCACATATTAGTATATATATCACCATTTTCAGAAATATCCATACTAATAGTTGTGAGACAGCCTGAGTATTGGAGTTAAGAAAATTTGCACGAGAAGTCATTTTTCGTGTGCACATAAAAAAGCTGAGTAGAATGTGTTCCGTTTTTTTTTTTTTTTTTTTTTTTTGATAGCATTAAAGAGAATGGTATCATATGTTCTTTTGGGAATGTCCCCAAAAAGGTTTATGTAAAGTCTAAAGCAGTATATAGGACTGCATGTGATATGCAGTGGGAAGGAAGAGACAGAGGAACAGAGAAAAAGGAATCCCAGGCAATAGACAGAGCTGAATGATGTGGGCTAGATCCCAACACCCTAGCAGCTTCCTAGACTATACCTAATGCAGCCGCAACAAGACCAATCCCTTGCGTGATCTTCCCAAAGGTGGAGGAGTCAAGTGGGAAAGACAAACATCAGCTATGTTTGTATCCAGTTCTCTCTTGGACTCCACATGATCCTATACTGACAAAATCAGTTTAACCTTAGGACTATGCTGAAGGAGCAGCTTGGTAAGATTTCAGTCTTTTGCATTCGCTAAATGCTTACTGATTCTTTTTTTTTTTTTGAGACAGAGTTTCGCTCTTGTTACCCAGGCTGGAGTGCAATGGCACGATCTCGGCTCACCGCAACCTCCGCCTCCTGGGTTCAGGCAATTCTCCTGCCTCAGCCTCCCGAGTAGCTGGGACTACAGGCGTGCGCCACCATGCCCAGCTAATTTTTGTATTTTCAGTAGAGACGGGGTTTCACCATGTTGACCAGGATGGTCTCGGTCTCTTGACCTCATGAGCCACCCGCCTCGGCCTCCCAAAGTGCTGGGATTATTGATTCTTGATTAAACAATTAGAGATTTAAAAATCTCCACACTGAAAGAACATTTTAGTCTCAGTGAATTGCGTGTAACAAGTAAAAGTTATTAGTTAGCAGGACCTCACAGGCTCTGAAGCGGGGAAAGCAGAGGGAAGAGGGCAGCAATCATCAGATACCTGGAGTGAGAAACAGGTTTTATCTGAGGAGGAAAAAGATGAAGTTGAGGACAGAAGAAAATGTCTGTGCACTTGCGTACAAAACTGGCTCTTTTGCCTTTAAAAGTCAAGACGAACTGAAACTGAACATGCTATTTTGTTTTCATATTTGAAAATATATAGGTCTTCTGCAATGATTAATAAGCCTTTATTAGTTTTCTCCTAAAGCATAAACTTTGTAAAAGAGATTTAATTTCAATATCCAAAATACTGTAAGTCAGTTCTCAAATTATGTTTCAATAATTACTTTTATCTGCCAAGTTTTGAGGGAGCAAAATGAACTATGGATTCCAGCTCTATTAACAATCACTACTAATGGAATGGTATTCTAGATGATGAAGCACTAAGAAAACATGAAATTCCTTTAGGGAATGCAAAGTATTAAGGAATAAAAAGGAGTTGCTCGGAACTAACTAGGATTTACTCAAACAACACATAGGGTCTGTTACGTTCTTGATTTTGAAGGCTTTGGTTCCCTTAAGCTTAACTGTGCCTTTAGTTTCCACAGAGGAATTTTCTTTGCATTCTGCCTTGCTAAGTACCATCAGCTAGTATCACTTGGTGTGCTGGAGCTATCTATCCCTGTACTGGTTCAGGAGAGCCCACTGCAATATTTTCAAGTTCTGCTTGTTAAACAGCTGGTAGCCTGAAATTGTCTAGGGTGGGAATATTTTCATAATAAAAATTGGCAAATATTACAGATCAGCCCTCCTCTCCCAGGTGGCTGTTAAAAATTTACCAACGCACCACTGTCCCCACCCTTCAGTTATACCTCTTTTAATCACTTCAACCAGGTTCATTCATAAGAAAGTCACGACCTTCAAGTAGAGAAAACAGCTGACGATAATGCATCTGTTGAGATTTGGGAAGTCATTGCAAACACATTCTCAAGCATGAAGATCAGTAATGTGTATAAATTATGGTCTAGACATTTTAATGAATAATTCATTTTCTAATAAAATTACATTTTCATTTGCATAAATTCTTAGTAGATTAATCCCATGAGTAAAGTAATATATCATTTCTTATTTTTAAAAGGGAGTACTTGCCTTCCCCCTTAATAAAACTAATTCTTGTAAATTCTGGTTATTATTTTTTTTAGATTTTCCCTGTTTTGAAGGAATTACTTATAAGTCACCTACTAATGCAGGCGTCACAAAACATTTAATCATTGAGGAAGGAGGGCATATCAGAAATATCACAGTTTTTAGGATTCAGAACAATAAATGCAAATAATTTCCTAATGCTACTACTAATACTGCAAAACAGTGAGAACTGTTCCTAAAATAAGTCATTTTCCTTTGCTAAATAAGGTTTCTCAATTGTAAATTTAAGAGGTAAGATATTAATGATCTTTAGATTTTGCCTTTCAAATGCAATCAGCCTACAAGAATGCTTCAGTATGTTCACTCATTCAAACTTCTGTAGAGTAGTACTTTAAATCAGTAGCTTAAAAATTTTTACAAATAAAAATGAACTGGGGACTAATAAAGGATTGCTACTTCATATTTTGCCATGTAAGAACATGTAAAATATAATTACCATCCATGATCACCATTATTTCATAGAATAAAAAGTATTTTAACATTAAAAAAGTAGGAGGGACATTATCTAATCTTTGCATACATATATATGGAAAACTACATTATATCTACATCCATACAAATTCTGAGCTGTTGCTATTTTCTTATTTCATCATGGACTAACTAAAAACTTTAAATGGACTGGTGCTTAGGAGCCACTGCTCTAGGTGACAAGTCACGAAAAAGGCTTCCCAAGCCCTTTAAAATCCTTACTTTTAATCCCTTGTAAATATACATTCACCAGGGATTCTCCACTGCCTCCATTTACATGTGTACCTAACAATACATGAACTTCCTTCCTTAGTAGTTCCATTCTAAGACTCTACCTAGGTGTCTGAGAGAAATAAGAATTACAGAGACTGCAAAAGAGGAGACAGTAGCTAATATTGAAGTCAGAATTGAATCTTAGCACATAAGATTCTATTCCTGGTATATATAGGAACTGTTCAAAGTGAAAAAGAAGACTCATATCAGACAATATCTTTGTTCAGAAAAGCTTCACATAACACCTGAGTTATCTTTCCTTCAGTGTGGTAACAAATTAGTGTCTCAGCTGAGCATGGTGGCTCACATCTATAATCCCAACCCTTTGGGAGGCTGAGGTGGGAGGATTGCTTGAGTCCAGGAGTTCCAGACCAGCCTGGGCAACATAGTGAGACACTATCTTTACAAAAAACAGAAAAAAATTAGCCAAGTATGATGGTGTGCTTCTGTAGTCCTAGTTACTCAGGAGGTAAGGCAGGAGGATCACTTGGGCTCAAGAGATCGAGGCTGCAGTGAGCTATGATCTTGCCACTGTACTCCAGCCTGGGTGACAGAGTGAGACCCTGTCCCAACGAAACAAAACAAAACAAAACGATTTGTGTCTCCTTTCATTTCATAGTGGTAGCTAAAGCAAAACTTTTTCATTTGTTTTATATGAGCATGTGGATGTGAGTGTATGTATTTTAATCACTGTACTTGTAGAACTTTAAAGTACTGTGAAAAATACTGACTCAATTTTCAAAGAAAAATACATAATTTGAAATCTAGCTTCTGACTCTAAATTCAAAATGTTTTCCATTGAAAAAACTCCAGCTATCTTTAAAAAATAACTCTATTTTAAAAATTATTGCAATAACATTTATATATGGTGAATTAAAAATATCTTAACTATACACTTTGATAACTTTTGACAGATATACATACTCATGTACGCAACACTGTGATCAAAATATAGAACATTTCTATCATTCTGGAAATTTCTGTTAGGTTCCCCACCAGTCAGTCCTCAGTAGGAAATCACTGTTCTGATTTCTTTCACTGCAGACATGTGCTTCTTTTGCTCAACATGTTTCTGAGACTCTTCTACATTGAGTATACTATTATTTTGTCCCTTTTTAATACTAAGAAGTATTCAATTGAATAAATGTACTATAATTTATTTATCTATTCTGCTGATGGACATTTGGTCTGTTTCCAGTTTTTGATAACTATGAAGAAAGCTGCTAGAAACATTCTTGTACAAGTCTTTTTGTAGATGTATGTTTTCATTTCTCTTGGGTAAATATGTAGGAATACATTTGCTTGGTGATAAAGTAGATGTACATTTAACTTTATAAGAAACTGTTGGCTGGCTGTGGGTGGCTCATGCCTGTAATCCCCATACTTTGAGAAGCTGAGGTGGGAAAACTGCTTGAGCCCAGGAGTATGAGACCAGCCTGGGCAACATGGCAAGACGCCATCTCTTAAA